CTCTCTCTCTCAAATAAATAAATAAAATCTTTAAAAAAAAAAAAGAGAATCTGTCCTTTATAGGAAATTTGAGCCAACGAGGCTTTAGAAACAACCCTTGTTACTTTTTTACCCTTTTACTTTCCCAGCCCAAATCCTGTTTAGAATCCTTTATCAACTGTGGCTCCCAAAGTTACATTTTCTTGTCCTGTCAATTCCTCAGAGATTTATCGGCTCCTTGTCCAAAAAGTGTAAAAACTGCCTGCCCTTGTCATTTCTTGAAGTCTCAATTTCTTCATTGTACCTCCATGTGCACTCTGGTTTGGTTTTGTTTTGTTTTGTTTTAATCCGGTTAATCTGCCTCATGTCAATTTAATTCCTAAACCAACTGGAAACACCTTGGAGGAAAGAAGGAAGCTTCTTCCTCGCCTACACATACATCTGATGTGAGCGGAGTCTGCACTCGGCAGTGGCCATCACATCCCGAGGAGTCTGGTTCCTCCTCACACTGGCCACAGGTCTTCCAGGCCATCACCTCTGACCATGGCAGGGATGAGGTCTGGCCAGTTTGCCTTTGGAGACACAGGTGTGTTCTTCCTACTTTCGAGAGGTATGGGGCAACAATCAAGATACACATAAAGACAGGCCATAGAATTTGCATATAAATTTAAAGACATAAGGCAAAGTGGCATTTTGGGGAGGCTGGCTCAGGATGTCTCTGATGGACTTTACTAGATAAAAGACAGTCTTTGTTTTGAAAACTGTATTTGAGAGGATAAAAAGAAGCTATAACATTCAAGATGAGATTTAAATGTGCAAATAAGGGCAATCATATCTTTAAGGGATGGCATGGGGGGTTTTTTGTTTGTTTTTGTTTTGGGGGCACAGATTTTCAATTTCTCATTGGGCATGTAATATACACATAATCATTCAAAACTGATGTCATATATTAAGGAATTTCCTTTCTATGTTTGCTCTTGCAGTTCTTTTTCCTACCAAGAACTATGGTCATGTCAAAATTCCCCTTTTAAAGTCCTCACTACTATTCATCATCCAATTTAAGCACCAACCTTGCATAAAAGCCTTCTTAACCATCCCTGCCAAAAGGTTCTCGGCTCACCTTTACCTCTCTGGCAGTTCTGCCATCAGATGACCTGCATCTTCTACGGCCTCGTATGAATGTTCATCCCTTTCTATACCACGTCACACACACCTCTTCAACAGTGCCTGGAACATCTTCGGTGCTCAGCGATATCTGTAGAATGAAAAGTTAATAAGACTATTTGCATAATGCTGTTAGTGTTGTCCCTGGCACATGGTATTCCTTAAATGTTAGCAATTACTCATATAAATAAGAAAACACTCCATATATTTTTGTGCCCAATTCTATGGTATCGTGTCCAATTCTATTCTATTCATACTTTTTTTTTAAAGATGTGAATCATCTCCAGAGTCTTTTTTTAAAGTTTTTATTTAAATTCCAGTTAACATAGAATACAATGTTAGTTTCAGGTGTACAATATAGTGATTCATCACTTCCACACAACACCTGATGCTCATCACAAGTACTTTCCTTAATCCCCATTACTTATTCAACCCATTCCCCCACTCCCCTCCCCTCCCCCAGAGTCAATATTTAATGACTTTTATAGAAGGTACCAGAAATTCCAAAAAGAAGTGTAATTTCTATTCTGAGATTATGCATTTTGCCGCTGACGATTCCATGTTTGCCAACTACAAAAGTGATATAAAACAAACTACTATGTCTTTATATTTTAAGTCGAATACCAGTACCTGATTTAAACAGTGGGTTTCAAACTTCAGGGATTTATGTAAACACATATGTATGTGAACAATAGGGAAATACCTAATCATGTGAAATAGAAGGCTTGCTCACTCCCAAGTCAAGGACATAGATCGATATGTCATCTTTGTGTCCCCAAAACTTTACTTGCAAGTACAAGGAGCTCAACACTCTCAAACTGAAGACACTAAAACGTTGTGTCTGAGCTGGCTGGCACTTCAGAGAAACAACTATGTGTCCTCAGAAAGCAGAAGGCAGATAGTCTCCCTACTTGGAAGATTGCTAGTAAGGAGATTCAGACTGGTCCACCTGCCTCCACATCTTATGCCTTCTTCCTCTACAGCATCTTGCTTTCCATGTCATTTTCCTTCATAATTAGGACCAGAGCCCTGATCAGAAAAGGAAAACTGTAAGTTTGTTAAAGAAAGCCAATTCTATGAAAATTTAAAAGGTCAGGTGAAAAAACCTTATATAAATGATCACCAAACCTGGTTTTCCCAACTGATGGCAAACTAAAATCAGGTTTTTTTGTTGACTCAGAAATGTATGACGTAAGACCAGATCTCAAAATTTTCCTACGAATTTGTGCTCAGTGAATCACTCAAGTGTTGATCTTAAGGCTCTCTAAAGATGAAGAGGAGAGTATGAGAACAATGCAATCACTACTGGAGCTCAGGAATGAAATTTGACAGGTAGGTATTAAAAGCATTCCCTTTTCCCAAGGAGATGGACCATCCATAACCAGGACGTGCCTCCTCCCAACCTCCTCTGAAATCCATTCATGATGAATAATTTTACAATTTTACAAACAGATCTCGACTGGCTCTGATTTCTATCTACAAGGCAAGCATAGATTTGGGAGTCAGATCAAAAGAGTTTATAAATTGTGTTCTGTCCCTGACACTCGCATAAGAGCCCGAACGAATGACTTATTCTTTCTGAACCTTGGTTTCCTGTTTAATGTCATGCGGGTGATCATTCAACCCTCACAAGATTATTGTGACATTTTTAAAAATGATGAATATACGACATTTTACAACAGCAACAAAAAAATACTGGTCCCGTTGAGGGGCGCCTGGGTGGCTCAGTCGGTTAAGCGTCTGCCTTCAGCTCAGGTCATGATCTTGGGGTCCTGGGATCGAGCCCCGTGTCGGGCTCCCTGCTCGGCAGGGAGTCTGCTTCTGCTTCTCCCCCTGCCTGCCGCTCTCCCTGCTTGTGCTCCCATTCTCTCTCTCTCTCAAATAAATAAATAAAATCTTAAAAAAAAATACTGGCCCGGTTTAATTGCTCAGGTAGTGTTGCTACATCTCAGGTCCAAAAATAGCTGAAGGAGAAGACATGCATGTCAGATAACCAGACAGTCATGGCAATTTGATAAATGCAACATTAATACCATCACAATGACGTGAGTTATGTATGCAGATGACTGTCTATGAGCAATGTTGTCAGTGAGAAAGAGCCAGGGGGTGAGAAACTGAAACATTTAAATCACATTCAGCATAAAAATGTGAGGAAAAGATATTAATGCTTACCACCTACCTAACAAGAATGTCATAGGCATTAATGAGCTAGTGCTGGTTAGCATTTTGAAACTCAGTGGAGGAAAGACTAATGCACACAACATACCCCACAAGGCAGTGAATATAATCATATAAAGTTAGATCATGTATAAAATGAGTTGTGTAGAAGCAATACACTCGCTCCTGACAAATGATCTGTGCTCTGGGTCCTGAATGCCACAGTACTCCCTCATTTGGTCCAAATCTTGCAAAGGTTCCCATCAAGAAAGTCTGCCCTGTAGGACAAGGCTGCAAATGTCAGTACCTGAATTTAAGTAATGGCTCAAAATCTTGGAAATTCCTCTGAACTTGCTCTCTCTCTCTCTCCCTCTTTCTCTTCTCTCTCTTAACACACACACACGGAGAGAATAAAGAAAGGTCTAGTCATGTGCAAGGCCAAATTTACATCCTCAAACAGCTGTCCCAAGAGCATCAGAAACATGCACAGGAAGGAGGCAAGAAAACCATTCAGAATTCTTGAAAAGTTATATGGGCAGTCTATAATCATCATCCCTTTAGTTCAGGCTTTTAGCTAAAGATCAGACAGGTTCAAAGGATGTGTGATGCCTAGGCCCCACTGCTTTCTGGGAGAGAATCAAAGTGGCAAATCATGAATTTCTGATGTTGTCTTCGTATTTGGGGCTGATGAACTATTCCCTTTACTGATCTGAGAGAAAGAAAGGTGTTGGAAATGGCAGTGACACACACATGTACGGAACTTTACCACAACAGTGTCCTTTCATGTGCACCAAGATCTGTTGTTCTGTCGATTAATTCTGATTAGCACTGACCTCACTTTACAGATAAAGAAATCTAAACTCAGATTTTTATGTCAGCTTGCCAAAGGTACATGACCAAGAGGGCTAGCACTCAAATCTCCGCTCTACTTTTCATTTCATTAAGTCGCCTCCATCTGAGAAGTTTTCTCTGATTCTACACAATCCAATTTGCAAAAATAATAATGTCACCTTCTCCATGATGCTGAAACAGATAGAGCTGGCTAGATGAAATTGATTAGCTCTGCCTTTGAGTGCAGAGAGAGAGAGAGAGAGAGGTTATGGGGTGTGTATGTGTGGCGGGTTAAGATTAAAAACTGAAGGACTTCAGTCAAGAGAGAAAGCTCACTAGTTAGCGGACTTTGAGTGCTCAAACATTACTAGTCACCACCATTATTACTACAATAAGTCACCCTTGTAGATGTACTGCAGGTCACACATCCAAAATTTGACTAACACTGTCCCTATATGACTTATAAGCATAAGCTTATGACCATGCTCACAACACACCCCCCACTCCACCCGCACACACACCCTGGCAATACATTTTAGTAATTTCTTAAATGAACAAGTATCTCACTTGCCAAAGATGCATTTTCTCTTCTCTCATTCTGTTCAAAATCTTTCAAGATGAGGTAAGGGATAATTTGCAGCTTGGATATCAGTATGTATTTCTAGTTCAAAGTCCTTTGCTTCATGGTACCTACATATTTGATGTGTTTGAAACTTCCCTTCACAGTCAGAAATTCTGAGCTAACTGCTTAAAGAAGTGAAAAAGTTTTAAAAATTTCAAATTTAAATGGAATGAGTAATTTTAGCGGCAATGATATTAAAGATGTGATTATTAAAGTAGGGAGTAAGAGTAAAGGTCTCCAGGAGCTCCAGGGAAATAATCTCTGCTTCAGTTGTTTAAGTAAACGTGTATATGAACAACATATGGACCAGAACCTATATCCTCAAGGCTAGATATTAGAGTAGTCTGGATGCTCTCAGGACAGGGCTAGGAATACTAATTGCTGTTATTGTGATTTGTATCAATACATTCTAAACCTATGTTCATTCCTACTGAACAGATTTTATCTTAAAATACTCAAAATTTCTATTTCAGAGGCTCACAATGAGCATAACTAAAGTGGGAAGGTTTCTAGCAATCTTACTACAAATGCAGTCATGGTTAGAAGGTGCTAAACTGAATAATCTGTGCATATTTCAAAGAAGAAACCTCAATTTCCTGATTGAATCCACCACTTATTTACATTTATTTTTTTGCCTGCCCTTGTTCATAATGTTCTTAATATCTGCTTTATGGTAGCCTAGAAAACTTTCACACGCTTTTTAAATGATCATTAATCACAACCACCAAAGCTGCTGTTTCACCATTTCTGCCAAGGAGAGTTTCCAGGTTCACTTTAAATTGACAGCTCCAACACTGAAGGGCTGCAGACATATTCCCCAAATTCTAAAACCTCCTCCAGCATGGCCAAAAATCATGACATTCATCCCTACAAGCTTCTCTGTGTGCAGCAGAAGCCCACCACACCTACTGTCCCCAGTGTCACCGTCTTGTAATCTAGCAATCCCCTCACCTCATAAGGACAGGGCAAGCCTTTATTTGTGCTCTTCACTGGAGAAGGGCAAATAGTGGAGCACAACAAGGGGTTGCTGTCACTGGGGTCTTAATGTTTCTAGGACTGGATCACACCGGAAAACAATCAATAATTCCCAAGCTGCAAAGCCCCAGCTCTAAACACACACACGTGCCCTTAGAAGGTGATACAGGCTCTCTCTGTAAGTTGCATCTCCTGAGTGCCCAGAGAGACAGACTGCACCAAAGGACAATGGCTGTCCACTGCAGTTCTCATCCACTTTAAATTACCTTGCTAATCTGTCATCTTGGACTTCCTGGAGCCATCAGTAAGTCTGCAGCAAGTAAAGGGGAAATCATTCCAGAGAATGTCAGACTGCCCTAAAAGTTAACCCTCTCACCCTCACATTCCAGATACTTAACTAACAAACCCACTCTTCGCCTGGTCTTCAACCCCACAGACCATGGTGACAGGGTGTAGGATTTACCTGCTAATTTGGAAGTTTCTTTCATGGTTGGGGCTTGGAGAAGATGGAGGTCCCGGAGGGATGGAAGCATTCTGGAGGTGATACAGTTCCTGGGGAAGTTGGGCAGTGGCTTCTTTTTGCACAGTTTCCAAGTCAGAAGCCTCATATGCCCCTGTCCACCTGACTCTTCAACACACTTTAGCGCTTCCTCCCCTCACCCCTCACCCCTTACCCCTCGCCTCTGATCGCGCCCCGCCGCTACTTCTCCACTCACAACGCTGTGGTGGTCAGCCAAGTGGAGCGGCCTTTGCGTGCGGAATTCCTTGTCACCTCCAACGTGCTGATCTTCAGCTCAGCTCCTCCAGCCCCGAAGCCTGTAGCTTTGTACTCTTGCTGAGGAGTTCCAAGGTCCCGCTGCTCAAAGTATCCCCGGGCTTCCACTCTTGCTCGGCTCCAGTTCCCAGCTCTGCGCCGGAGGCGCTCCGGGAGAGGAGGGAGTGGCAGCCGCCGGGCCTCGCCGCTTTAGGTGCGGGCGTCCCCGGGGCGGGGCCCTGGGACCGCGGGACACCGCAGGAGCCGCCACCGCAGGCGCCCGGGGCGCCGAGGACCC